CCCCAAAACCCCAAAACCCCAAAACCCCAAAACCCCTATTTGAGAAAGCTTCTGGAACTGGCAAATTAATATAATTTTAATATTTAAATTATGGACGTCTATGAAATAGTTAAAACGATTGGAAGTGGAGCTTTTGGTCAGGTCTACTTGGTCAAGCATAAACTTGCAGATACTAATTATGTCATCAAAAAAGTAAAAATCAAAGATATGCCTGAAAATGAACAAGAAAATACCATACAAGAAGTTAGATTACTTCAGAAACTTAGACATGTAAACATCGTTGCATATAAAGATTCCTTTGAAGACAGGGAAAATCAACTAAATATTGTTATGATTTATTGTGAAGGGGGTGATATGGCTTCAAAGATTAAGGATGCATGAGGAAATCATTTCTCAGAGGATCAATTGCTTGACTGGTTCTCTCAAATGGCTCTTGCGCTTTACTATTTGCATGAGAGAAGAATTCTACATAGAGACCTAAAACCTCAAAATATATTTTTGAAGAATGGTAGAATAAGACTGGGAGATTTTGGAATTGCTAAAGTACTAGATTCTACCAAAGACTTTGCAAATACTTGAATTGGAACCCCTTACTTCATGTCTCCAGAATTATTTAAAAACAAGCCATATAGTTATGATTCTGACATCTGGGCACTTGGATGTATCTTCTACGAAATGTGAAACCTCAAACATGCCTTCGATGCTCAGAGTCTAAATGGGCTAGCCTTGAAGATTTTGAAGGGAAAATACCCATCTGTCAACTCTATGTATTCAAAAGGTTTGAAAGATTTGATCAATAAAATGCTTTGCCAAAAGAAATCTCAGAGACCCACAATAGTCGATGTTCTGAACACACCAGTTATCAAAAAGAAGGTGATCCAGTACTTAAAGAAATGATTGAATGAAGGTAAATTTCTAAATTAAACTTTAGATCCTTCCACTACTTCAGAAGATGACGGTTTCGATATTGATGACAAGAATTTCGATTCCCTTAGAGAACAAGCTGAACAACTAGATTTGCTTAAATACGTAACAGGAGAATCCGATTTTGAAATCATAGAAGAAGTAAAAGAAGTAAAAGAAACAACAAACTCTTATATGAAATCAGCTATTAAAAAGAAAAAGAGAATCGAAGATGACATCGAAAAAATTTAAAATTCAAAAGTACAATAAAATCAGAGAGTACAACCACTTAAAGAAGAAAAAGTATGGACCTAATTACGGACTCCGTAATAAAGATGGCAAAATGGCAGGAGGAATGCAATCACTACAAGGTAAACACCCATGCTGACCATAGAAGAAGGAGATAGCGCTAAAGATAGAGTCCTGAAAAACAAGGAAAGGAAGAAATTAGAAGAACAGAAAAGAAAAGAAATGGCACTTATTCAAGCCTGCAAGGAAAATGTTGCTGCTAAGGAAGCAGCCAGGATTAAAGAAAAGAACCAATACAGACCTTCAAGCGCCATGGTCAATATTTTCGGAGACAAGAAGAAGATTGAAGAGGACTATGCATTTTATGACCAGCCTGTTGAGGACGATAAGGAAGATGAACTCTTAGAATCCATCATGGAGGAAGTAGATGCTGAAGATGAAGAAGAGAAAGATTTAAGAGAAGATATAAAAGAGCTTGATAGACAAATTCAGCAGAAACAAAAATAAATTAGAGGAAACAACTAGTCAAGTGGATGACCTTACAGGTACAAAACCATTTGAAATGAATGAAAGCGATGAAGGAGAAGATAACCTTGAGGATGATAAGAGCTCTGACGATGAAGAATTTGCTGAAATTTGGGAAGGTAAAGAAGAGAGCGATAATGAAGACGAAGAAAAACACAAGAAAGTTTACAAATCTTTTGAAGAGAAGAAGACTTTGGTGAAACTTAGTGACAAAATAAAAATGCTCAAGCATAGATGTGAGGCTTCTCTTGGCTTTACACTCTATGAGAAAGCTTATAAACTTATTAAAAGGAAAGAAGAAAATTTAAGAAAGAGATTAAGTGACCTTATTGGAGAAGAAAACATTGGTTTCTATGTTGTGTTCAACAATATCCTCTTTTTAGAAAAGAAAAAGAAGGATATAATGGCAAAATAACAGAAATGCTTTTAAAATTCCGACCAATACACTAATTCAATATAACCGAGTTAACAAGGGGTTTTGGGGTTTTGGGGTTTTGGGGTTTTGGGG